AATTTCCTTTGACCACTTCATCAAATTTTTTAGTATTTATTTTAACAACTTCTGGTTTTTATACTAAACTTTCTCTTTTTACAATTCACATTTCATAAAATTTGCTTTTTAGTTGTAAATGAAGAAAGAATTAGTTTTCTTGCTTGTGGCTTCACTGGCACAAATTGTGACAGCAAATGATAGTGAGTTTGTTTCGATCGATTACTTTGTTCTTTTTTTTGTTACCCAACTCATCTACTGGCTATTAGCTATTAGCTTTAGAATGGATGGAAGGGTGCAGGAACCAGAGTGAAAACATTCAAATTCATTCGGCTGGTGGCAACTGGGGGAACTTTTCGAGCGATTTGACGTCTAAGTAAGCGTGTTTCGTGAAGACTTTCCCGGACTCGGCCCGGTAAAAGCCTTAATGAGCTGGGACTCGATCAAGGCTTGCCCGCAGCCATGGTCCGGCCCATGGCTCAAGGCTTTTTTGTCGCTAGAGACAACCCTTCTCATTTTATCTTCATCACTCAATTACAGTAAATATTTTTGGATCGATCGAACGTTCACGTGCACTGCTGATCCAGACCATTTCGCGCTTGTTCGAGTGGGAGTTCCTTTTCAGTTTATCCTCTAAAATGTTTTTCAGATCAAACAGACACAAAAACTATCACTTGTGGATCGCGGCTTAAATGGGTGTACAAAGGTGAAGTCGTTCTCAATGTTGGATGCTACACAGGCACACGGGTGAGTTTTTTACGTTTAGTTAAAAATATTGCGAAACATGTTATTAGTAAATCGACGTGAGGCAGCAGGGACAAGAAGCTTTTAAGCAGATTTGATCCAAAAGTCCGAGGAAGAGGAAAGAATTCGAAATTGGATGGGCGAGCATCACGGAGTTAAAGAGGATCAAAAGGATTGGACACGGGGCAGCACCCAGTATAAACAACAAGAGAAAATGCAGGAAATGGCTTCGGAAATCTATAAACTTTTAGTTAACACCGATAATATGTAAGTTTTAGCTCACTATCAACGCGAAAAGGGTTCTTTTCCGTTATACATCCGCAAAATTTGCATCCTTCCATGAAAATGAACAAGGAAAACCACAGGAAATATTAGGTTGGCAACTTAATAATGACGCGTCACTACTTAACATGTTTTTTGTAATTTCAAGCGCCGTTTCTTCCCTCTTTTTTGCATATATACAAAGTAAAAGATGTCTACATAAATAACATTTAGTGCTCCAAATTTCATCATTTGCTTTTTGGCAAAAAATGGAGGACAAAAAATTCCGTATTCGATCTTCATTGTTCTACGATTTTAAACAAGGAAAATCACCAGCTGAATCTCATCGCACGATCATCACTGTTTTTGGGGAGAAAAGTATACACATTCGGCAATGTCAACGATGGTTTCAAAGATTCCAAGGCGGCGATGAAAGCCTCGTAGACGAGCCACACCAAGGACATCCTCCAGAAGTGGTCGACGATGACTTGCTCGCCTTAATTGAAGACTGCCCAACACTCACCGTTCGTGAGTTGGCAGAAATATTTGAAGTATCCCATACGACAATCAAAAACTATTTACACAAACTTGGGAAAAGAATCGAGTTGGAAAATGGGTTCCTCACGAACTGACCCAAAGCAACAAAATGTCGCCTCAATTTTGCTACAAAAATGTGAATCAAACGACTTTTTTCACAGGGTTTTGACTTCTGACGAAACGTGGATCAACTACGAGAACGTTAAACGCAAAAATCAATGGCTATCTGCTGGGCAGACCCCTTAAACCACTCCCAAACCTGATATCCATAGGAAGAAGATAATGCTCTGTTGCTGGTGGAACTTCAAGGGATTGGTGCATTATGAAGTGCTGAAACCTGGCCAAACCGTCGATGCTGATCTTTATTCGAAGCAATTAATGAGAGTTAACGAGTCTTCGAAGAAATTGGGGCTCAAACCGGAGAGAGTCAGATTTTTACACGACAACGCAAAACCTCACACTGCAAAGATCACTTATAAGAAAATCGAGGAACTTGGCTGGAAAGTTTTGCCCCACGCGTCTTATTCACCTGATCTGGCTCCTTCAGATTACTTTTTGTTTCGGTCGCTGAAGCACTTTTTGGAGGGAGAAAAGTTCGATGATCACGCTCAGGTCATAAAAGCAGTGAATGACTACTTCGCCTCAAAAACTCCCAAGTTCTTCGAGTATGGGATCCGGGATTTGCGCAGAAGATGGGAAGAAGTCATAGATACTAATGGAGAATACCTTTCGAATTGAAAGCTCTTCTTTTGTGTTTTTTTGAAATAAATGATTTGTTACATAAACGCGTCATTATTAAGTTGCCAACCTAATAATTTTTCCTTTGTTTTCTAAGGGCGCGATGGAACCATGTTTCGCTTAACGACTACGGAAGCTGATGCAATCTCGTTCTTTCAACAACGCCGCATCTTGCTTATGACTCGCAAATGCGCCAACCATCACGTTATGTAGCTATTGCTCAATCAGAATTCCCGATGCGGATGTGACAAAACGTCGTGCTGGACAGCGATCGACCTGCGTGTTGGCTCATGGATGGAGAGAACCAAAATCCCGTTTCTCACAATCCTATGATTTTTCACGACGAAACTGCGATGTTAAAAGACTTTTGTCCATCAATTTTTGGCCCAATTTTTGTTTTATTAAAAAGTTCATGATACCTGATAAATTGTTAAATCCATCTTTTTGTAATGTTAAAATTAGAGATAATAAGCTCTTTAAATCTTTTAACCGTTTGCAAATTGCTCGGATTTGAACCAAGATATACAAAGAACAAACTTCTAAAAACCAATGTCAAAAGACTTTTGTCCATGACTGTAACTCATTTCGCCAAGCTCTCCTTGTGTTTTTCGGAATCTACGCATAAAGCTACCCGAGATAAAGTGGTTTTGAAAAACAAAAAAGTGCCCTCCTTCCCAACCTGAATAGCGCCTAGAAGCGTCATGTTCAACGCGTCGAAATGTTGGTTTTTCAGTTGAAATGCTAAAGATTTATGTTTATTAGTTTATTATCTTATGCTAAAAATGTCAAATTCGTCCCCAGCGCCCTCGATTACCTCTAGAAAATTGGAAAATCAAAAATATAGTTGGCCCCCCAACCATCAAAGTACCAAACTTCTTTAAATTTCTTTGCCTTAAAACTGGAGCTGTCAATCACTAGTTATAGTCAGCATTGAGATAATACTTTACTTTAGTCGTTACTTTCAAGATGATTTGAAATCGACACAACGTCACGACGGGATCCAATAGCTAGCAGAGCGTGCAGCGACTTATGGTGATAAATGGTGGGTAGGACGTGTCGACATTGTGACTGTTTTTCGAAAAGGAGCATATCACAAAACGTGCACTTACCTCTATGGAGCATCTGGTGATTGGATGATTTCTGAGATGAAGACGTGGAGTCGCCCATGTGCATTGGCATGTGGACATGTTTGTGTTGTGCATTTAACTGCTTGATATCGTTTGAATAAAGGAACTCATGAAAAAGATTCCCAGTGACGCAAGAAAGCAGAAAAAAAGAGATGCGGCTTTAAAAAGGGTCCCTAAATTTTAAAATGACTTTTTATGTAGTTGACATTTTAAAATTGAACAATAGTTGATTACATTCACATCTTTAAAATAGTTTGCTCAAATTGATTTCATTAATTCCATTTAGATTTCTTTAAAACATAAAAATGTAAAAACTGAGTAAAAACTGAAGAAAAAACATAACATTTACGAATCAATTAAACCTGGATTCAGGGTAACATTAAACCATCTATCAGCCGCTTCCTTTAGTTTCTCCGTTGAAAAACGAACAGCTTCGAGTTTGAATGAAAATGGGTAGGCCTTTCGCTTGACTTTTGGTCTTAGAGCTTGTTGAATTCGACATTATCTAAGAAAGAAAAATTATTAACGCAATAAAATCTGAAAAAAATCGGAAAAAAAAGACGAAACGAAATAAAACTACACTTTCGGGTTGACTTTTCGTATTTCGAATACAATAATTTTAGCCACAAATAGAAAAGAAGTGATACTTCGAATAAAAGATCGGTGTTATATTCAACCTGGTCTTCTCTTTTTTCAATCAGCCTCTAGACCTCGTCTCCTATTCGAAGCGCTCTTTTATTCTTCTTAATAGTCTTCTATTGCTTTTTTAATAGTCTTCGGTCTTCTATTCGAAGATATACGGTAGACTAAAATAAACAATAAACAAAAAAAACCAAATTCTCGGACGATAATTCCGGTTGATCACGCCATTTTCGGACCAATTTTCGTTTTCATCACTAAGCAAAATAGTTTGAAAACTATTGTGTAAATACCGTATTTTCTTTCTCTAATAGTAGTGCACACTGAGCGTCGCCTAAATTCCTCGAAATCTCGAGAACCGCTTGTCAGAACCTATCGATGTGGGGTAGGAAAATGTAGCTGACGATGAGATCTTTTGGGGGATTTGAGTGTTGAGCTTCTACGAAAACTTTGAAAGCCGTAAAATCGCCACCAACTCGGCTCGCTGGGGTGCACTACTATTAGAGAAAATACGGTAATTAAAAACTTACCTTATTTCCTGTTCATCATCGTAGTCTTTACTAAACATTGAGACAAATGGAGTGCTTCGGATTCCATAGTGGCATCTTCTATTTTTCATGAGTTATTGTAAATCTTCATATGTAAATGTAAAATATGGCTACTCAGATACTGCATTTGATCGTAAAAGCGCTGAAATTTGTCTTCACTTTCTTCCATTAACTTCTTTTGAGCGATTTATTAAATGGGAAAAAGAAAAAATGTACGCTTCTATCAAAAAACTCTTTTTGAATTGAATCATTTTCCAGACACCACATAGACCTTTAAATTCCAAACTTCAACTTTCAACTTTCAAATTGACTACTTTATTTTCTCCATAAATTTTTTGATGATTATTTGAACAACTTCTCGTTTTTTACTAAACTTAATCTTTTTACAATTTTGATTTCATCAAATTTGCTTTTCGGTTGGCTGTAAATGAAGAAAGAATTAGTTTTCTTGTTTGTGGCTTCACTGGCACAAATTGTGACACCAAATGAAGGTCCGATTGAAGGTTTGTTTCGATCCATTACTTTGTTCTTTTTTTTGTTGTCCAACTCGTCTACTGGCTTTTTTTAGAATGGAGGAAAGACTGCAACAGCCAGAGTGAAAAAATAGTCATTCATTCGGCTGGTGGCAATTGGACAAACCTTTCGAGCGATTTGACGACTCAGTAAGCGTTGTTTCGTGAAAGATTTTCCGGGCTTGGCCCGTTGAAAGCCTTAATGAGCTTGAATCCGATTAAGGCTTGCTCCAAGCCATAATCCGGTCCTTGCCTCAAGGCTTTTTGATCGCCAGGGATAACCCCTTTCATTCTATCTTCATCTCTAAATTACAGTCAACAGTATGGGGTCTATCGAAAGTTCACGTGCACTGCTGATCCAGGCCATTTCGCGTTTGTTCAAGTAGGAGTTTCTCTTTCAGTTTATCCTCAAAAGTGTGTTTCAGATCAACCACAAGATGGATTTTCCATCAGACACAAAAACTATCACTTGTGGAAAGACGCGTAAATGGTTGCACAAAGGTGATGTCGTTGTCACTGTTGGATGCTACATGGGCCCACGGGCAAGTTTGCTTTGCAAATAGGTTTAGTTAAAGGTATTAAAGGTAACCAAGCATTTAAAAATTTTCTCGAGGCAGCAAGCTTTTAGGCAAATTGGATCCAAAAGCCCAAAGAAGAGGAAAGGATTCGAAATTGGATGGGCGAGCATCACGGAGCTCAAGAGGATCAAAAGGATTGGACATGGAGCAGCACCCAGTATGAACAACAAAAGAAAATGCAACGAATGGCCTCGGAAATCCAAAATCTTTTGGTTAACACCGATCATATGTAAGTTTTAGCTCACTATCAACGCGAAAAGGGTTCTTTTCCGTTATACATCCGCAAAATTTGCAGCCTTCCATGAAAATGAAGGAAAACCACAGAGAATCATTTTTTCACTATTTTCTAAGGGCGGGGTGGATTCATGTTTCGCTTGCCGACTACCGAGGCCGATGCAATCTCGTTCTTTCAACAACGCCGCATCTTGCTTATTACTCGCACATGCGCAAACCATCAGGTTATGAAGCTATTGCTCAATCAGAACCCCCAATGCGGATGTGACAAAACGTCGTGCTGGACAGCGATCGACCTGCCTGTTGGCTCATGGATGGAGAGCACCAAAATTCCGTTTCTCACAACCCTACGATTATGGATGGACTCAACAGTGAACCTCGATCAACTATTGTGCGAAAGAATTGGAGACGAATCAAAGAACCGCGGTCGATTTCAACACACTAGGATTCCTTGCGTGGAATATCTAGTGAACAAGCTGAGAGGAAAAATTGGATAAGTCGATCGAATCGTCGAAGTGGACGAGGCTCTCTTCTCGAAGCGAAAGGCGAATGTGGACCGAATCTTGCCGCAAGTTTGGATATTTAGAGTAGCTTGCCGGGAAACCAAGGAATGTTTTCTGGTCGAGGTGACCGACCCTATTGGAAGCGATGATTGAACACATCGAGCCGGGAACCTAAATTGACTCCGATTGATGGCGAGGATACAACCCTCACCAGATGGAGGAGGCAGGCTTTGCCCACCCTCATGTCAACAAGTACAACTTCCTGAATCGGGTTGACCCTGCCATTCACGCGCAGACGTCTAGGGGCAAAATGGAGAAACAAGAAGCATCGAGGCACGTCATTTCCTACCGAACTACCTTGCTAAATTGACGGTTCGACGAGAAGTGAGAAAGGACGATTTCTACGAGTGGGTGTTGCAACAAATTGCTACGGCATGGATTGATCCTCACTGATTCCTCATTGATTAATAATCAATGGTTATTTTTGTGGGTGTATAACGGAAAGGAACCGTGAAACGTTTCTGAATAAAACTTTGTCTTGCAATGTTTTCTGTAATTTTCAGAGTCAGGAAGCAAGTCGCCGTTCTACCGGCAGACTATGTGAATGCTTATGGGGAAACACAGGCCCTCTCAGAAGACAACTACTACATGAGAACGGCTTTTGTTGGCTTTGGAGACGATAACTCTGTGCTGGAATTTGCGAACTATGTAATATTTGTGTTTCGTGGTGGCTTTCCGGGCAGACCAAAGCCTAATGCAGAAGAAGAAATCAGGTCAGACGAGTGTTTATTAGGCTGGCTAATAAGTAATGGTGGATTTGCTGGAAGATGATCGCAAACTAAACCAATCTACAATACTTGATTTTAGTCATTACTTTCAAGATGATTTCAAATCGAGAGAACGACACAACGGGATCCAATTGCTAGCAGACCGTGCAGCGACTTATGGTTATAAATGGGAAGGACGTATCGACATTGTGACTGTTTTTCGAAAAGGAGCAAATCACAAAACGTGCACTTATCTCTATGGAGCATCTGGTGATTGGATGATTTCTGAGGTGAAGACGTGGAGTCGGCCATGTGCAGCTGGATGTGGAGATGTTTGTGTTGCGCATTTAACTGCTTGATGTCGTTTGAATAAATGAATTGATGAAAAAGATTCCAAGTAAGAAAACAGAAAAAAGGAAATGCGGCCTTAAAACAAAGTCCATAAATTTTTAAATGACTTTTTATGTAGTCGACATTTTAAAATTGAACAATAGTTTGATTACATTCACATCTTTAAAATAGTTTTCTCAATTTGATTTCAGAAATTCCATTTAGATTCATTTAAAACTTAAAAATGTCTCCAAATAACCAGCGAAATCACAAAACGAGCAATGAAAATCTTTGTGCTTCTTCTTTTGACTTCATGCCTGTTTATTTCAAAGGTTCAAGTAAGTTGGAGTAAGTTGGAGTTCGAGTACTATAGTAAGTAGTTGGAGTATCAACTGCTTACTATAGTACAGTGAGTAGTTGGAGTATAAAACTAGTCTAGCACCTTAGTTTAATAAGGTTTATTTTAAGATTCATCGTTTCTACATTTTTGCTAAGTTTTAATCATAGATCTTTAAGAACCACTTTAACTGAAGAGAACCGGTTCCTTAATGTTCCGGATGATAATTTGGCAACATCTGCTTGTGATCTCCTATTCATTGCTAAAGTAGGCACCCCAGTGTGTCCGAAACTACTGAAAACAACAGCTCAGTAAACACAAGCACTTGCGGATGAAGCTTCAGAAAAAAAAGATTCCAATCACTATTCCAATTTGAGCAAATTCCAGTCAAAATTTTCGTTGCTAACTTCAAGAAAAACTCTTCCTTTATCAACTTTACAGAATCTTTTCCCAATCTAGGTTCCGCCCCTTTTTGCCAATGGCCGCGTACAGACAGACGGACGGACAAACGTCTCTTCTGCTTGATATATACTACCATATTTATTCGATTTGAAGCACAGTCTCCAATAGAAGCAATTTTATGAAGAGGGTTGAAAAATAGATGCAAATGTGCTTCTATTTTTCACCTACCGTATTCTACCTTTCACCTACCGTATTCAACCTATTCAACCGTTTTTCACCTACCATATTCAACCTACCGTATTCTAATAGAAGCAAATGTGCTTCTATTAGAATACGGTAGGTTGATGCAAAAGAAATTTCGGTTTTTTACAAACATTAAATTTAATCAAAATTTCTTTAGATAACAATTTATTCCAAAAAATAAGCATCATGGTTATCTATGGTTATCTATAGCATCCCTCCAATGATTCTATAACATCCCTCCAACGTTGCTCAGATTGCGGATCCCCTTATTGAAGAACTCTTGATTCTGTGATTGAAAGTAGTCGTTCATCCAAATCTCCATGGTCTTTCCGATTATTTTCAAATGAAAATTGTTGATTGATCACATTGGAGATGTTTGGTAAGCTCTCGTGTTGTTTGCATTGGCTTCAATAATTTGTTCCAATTCATTATTATCGATCGCTGCCGAGCGATGCCCATGTGGTTCGTCTTCAAGTGATTCAATACCTTCTCGGCATCGGACAAACTAGAGCTGGCAGGATCTTTCGGTCATAACTTGTTCTCCAAAAGCGGAACAGCAATGACGATGTGATTCGGCAGCGCTTTTGCTCATCTAGAAATCGTAGAGAAGACACGCGCGCACAACATACTTTTGATCCACCATGATCTAAAGCAATTATTAATTTAAAAGTTAAAGCTCTGAATTAGAAAAAGCGTAAAAATAAAGTAAATATCTAAGAGTACAAATATACAAAAGAAAATCAAATAAGATTGCTGATTAACAAATAGAAAATTTTATACCGACCTAAATTTCTTTTGCATCAAGCTAGTACATCGAGAATCCTTCACGAACTTACAGTTGTTGTTGTTGTTGTTGTTGTTGTTGTGGTGGTCGTCGTCGTTGTGGTCGTCGTTGGGGTGGTCGCAGTAGCAGTAGCAGTAGCAGCAGTAGTAGCAGCAGTAGTAGCAGATAATAAGTCCTGACAAAAACTTTCTTTTTACATTCGTTTTTGTGAGGGGCTTTTGGGCGGACAATAATATTGATCGCTTGCACAATCGCTGCCATTTGTACATTTTGAAACATTTGAATGATTTTACCAAGCTCAAGTCAACTATTATATTGCTCAAAAGGCTTTTAAAGAATCTACATTGGTTCGCAAGGGAGCTAAAAGTTTAAAAAGAATGGCTTTATCTTTTTATCTGTTTTTATAAAATCCTTAAAACTTTATCTGTTTTAAGGATTTTATTTATTTGAAAAAAGCAAATCAAATTTCCCGCTGTACTTTTGAATCACTAGCGGCTGAAAATCCCAGTGGCTGCAACATATAAAAAAAATATGGCTACTCAGATACGGCACTGGTACTACAGTTTGTCGTAAAAACGCTAAAATTTTTCTTCTCGTTTTTCCATTAATTTATTTCGAGCCACATATTATTAGGAAAAAAATGTATGATTCTATCAAAAAAATTCTTCTTTAATCGAATCATTGTCATAACATAGACCTTTAAATAAAAGCATAAAAATTCGATATGAAAATGAAGTAGTCAAATAAAATTCCAAAGTCTTAGTATTGATTTGAACAACTTCTCGTTTTTTTAAACTAAACTTTCTCTTTTTACAATTCACATTTCATAAAAGTTGCTTTTCAGTTGCTTGTAAATGAAGAAAGAATTAATTTCCTTCTTTGTGGCTTCACTGGCACAAATTGTGACAGCAGATGAAGGTTCGTTTGTTTCGATCGATTACTTTGTTCTTTTTTTGTTACCCAATTCTTCTACTGACTATTTTTTTGGAATGGATTGAAGATTGCAACAGCCAGAGTGAAAACATTAACATTCATTCGGCTGGTGGCAACTGGAGAAACTTTTCGGGCGATATGACGTCTAAGTAAGCGTGTTTCTTGAAAACCTTCACGCGCTCGGCCCGGTGAGAACCTTCATGAGCTCGAACTCGATCAAGGCTTGCCCGCAGCCATGGTCCGGCCCCTGGCTCAAGTCTTTTTGGTCGCTAGAGACAACCCTTCTCATTTTATCTTCATCACTCAATTACAGTAAATATTTTTGGATCCAACGAACGTTCACATGCACTGCTGATCCAGACCATTTCCCGCTGGTTCGAGTGGGAGTTTCTTTTTCAGTTTATCCTCAAAAATGTTTTTCAGATCAACCACAAGATGGATTTCCCGTCAGACACAAAAACTATCACTTGTGGATCGGAGCGTAAATGGTTGTACAAAGGTGAAGTTGTTGTCTCTGTTGGATGCTACACAGGCACACGGGTGAGTTTTTACGTTTAGTTCAAGGTTTTGCTAAAAAAAGTTGTTAGTAAATTCACGAGAGGCAGCAGGGACAGGAAGCTTTTAGGCAAATTGGATCCAAAAGTCCGAAGAAGAGGAAAAAATTCAAAATTGGATGGCCGAGCATTACGGAGTTAAAGAGGATCAAAAGGATTGGACATGGGGCAGCACCCAGTATGACCAACAAAAGAAAATGCAGCGAATGGCTTCGGAAATCCAAAAACTTTTGATTAACACCGATAATATGTAAGTTTTAGCTCACGATCAACGCGAAAAGGGTTCTTTTCCGTTATACATCTGCCAAATTTGCATCCTTCCATGAAAATGAACAAGGAAAACCACAGAAAATTCTTTTTTCGCTGTTTTCTAAGGGCGCGGTGGATTCATGTTTCACTTACCGACTACGGAAGCTGATGCAATCTCGTTCTTTCAACAACGCCGCATCTTGCCTATTGCTTGCACATGCGCCAACCATCACGTTATGAAGCTATTGCTCAATCAGAACCCCCAAGGAAGCTATTGCTCAATCAGAATCCATCAGGATGTGACAAAACGTCGTGCTGGACAGCGATCGACCTGAGTGTTGGCTCATGGATGGAGAGAACCAAAATCCCGTTTCTCACAATCCTATGATTATGGATGGACTCAACAGTGAACCTCGATCACCTCTTGTGCGAAAGAATTGGAGATGAATCACCGCGGTCGACTTCAGCAACTAGGATTAGAGTGTGTTCCTTGCAGACAACACGTTTTCTAAAAAGCGCTCGCCAAATATAAGCTACCGTAACCCTACGCTTTGCATAAGCGATTTTTTAAAATACAAATGTACATTAAAACCTTGCGCTTTCTTTTCTACTACTCTTTCCTAGGAAAAACGATACGCTTTTGACACGAGCTATGGCCGAAACTAATATCTCCATTACTCAGCTTAGTCGTAGCAAAAGGTGGAAAGCATGGTTTAATGCGCAAAATATCAAAATGCCTGGTCGAAAAAGGTTTATAAAAAGTTATTTACTACAAAAAAAGTACATCGACATCGACACCATAAAAAATTCAATGATCGGTAGACTCGAAGACCAAATAAGGGAAAGCCTAAAAGAAATTGTGGAATGTTCGATTTCAAGTGATTCAAATGATCGCCCGTGAGTCCAATTCTTGCAAAGCATCCCCAATCGACACCAGATCTTTGCAACTGATCAGAAGAAATTGTTCGAAGAATGTTTTCCATTTTCCACAACAAAAACATATACAGTCGTCAAAAAAAATTGCACCCTCGAAGAAAAACTCGTTTTTGGCAAAAAAGTCAAAAGCACCCCAGACAAAAAGCTTAAACTTCAGTATCTGGTCGGTCCTCCTTGAGCTTTAATGATCTCTTTCATTCGACTTGGCATACTTGCAACCAATTCCTCGAGTGTCCGTGGTGAAATCGACTTCCAAATCTCTTGCACCTTGTCCCAAAGCTCATCCTTGGAAGAAAACTGGTAGCCACGTAATTCTCGTTTTACACTTGCCCATAAATGCTCAATCGGGTTACAATCGGGAGAGCCTCCCCAGCACATTACACCACCA